GACAAAAAGGTGTATGGTGAATATAACACAAGAGACAAGAAGGTTTATGGTGAATATAACACAAGAGACAAGAAGGTGTACGGTCAATGTAACACAAGAGACAAGAATGTGTACGGTCAATATAACACAATGGTGTTTTCCTGTTGGTTTGTGATTAAAAAGGTGCACTAGGGACTATCTGTACTGTGCTAAACACAAGTTGGTTGAAAAACAAGTTTAGTAGGTAAGTATAACAACTGTACGGTAGTGAGATCTGACAGCTAATGACATAAACAGTTGGTTGAGAAACAAGTTTAGTAGGTAAGCATAACAACTGTAAGGTAGTGAGATCTGATAGATAATGACATAAACGATTGGTTGAAAAACAAGTTTAGTAGGTCAGTATGGTAAGTATAACAACTGTAAGGTAGTGAGATCTGACAGCTAATGACATAAACGGTTGGTTGAGAAACAAGTTTAGTAGGTAAGTATAACAACTGTGAGGTAGTGAGATCTAATAGATAATGACATAAACGGTTGGTTGAGAAACAAGTTTAGTAGGTAAGTATGGTAAGTATAACAACTGTAACATCGTGAGATAACACTTATTTATACAGTTATCAAAACACCAATTTACATATTAAACAATTTCACGCCATCTGCTGACAACATTTCCATCAGGTCCATCATCCTTATTCAATAATTTAAATTTACTTTTTTGACATTTAATTATCTCAATAGATTCACGTATATTCATACCAATTACATTTCCAGGTTGTGCTAAAATAACAATTTTTTCCCATTGAATTGTGTGATTAGTTTCAGTGTTATATTCACCATACACCTTCTTGTCTCTTGTGTTATATTCCCCATACACCACCTTGTCTCTTGTGTTATATTCACCATAAACCTTCTTGTCTCTTGTGTTATATTCACCATACACCTTTTTGTCTCTTGTGTTATATTCACCATGCACCACCTTGTCTTTGTGTTATATTGACCGTACACCTTCTTGTCTGTGTTATATTCACCATACACCTTCTTGTCTCTTGTGTTATATTCCCCATACACCACCTTGTCATGATACAACATGTTAGGTCTCATGTTATATCAACACATCATACATTAACATTATAGAACAGCACAAAAGATATTAACGTACCAACAGATCAGATGATACAACATGTTAGGTCTCATGTTATATCAACATATCATACATTAACATTATAACACAGCACATAATATATTAACGCACCAACAGATCAGATGATACAACACGTTAGCAGGTCTCATGTTATATTAACATATCATACATTAACATTATAACACAGCACATAATATATTAACGTATCAACAGATCAGATAATACAACACGTTAATAGGTCTTGTGTTATATTAACATTATAACATAGCACATTAGTTATTAACGTATCAACAGATCAGATGATACAACACGTTAGCAGGTCTCATGTTACATTAACATTATAAAACAGCACATAAGTTATGAACGTATCAACAGATCAGATAATACAACACGTTAATAGGCCTTGTGTTATATTAACATTATAAAACAGCACATAAGATATTAACGTATCAACAGATCAGATAATACAACACGTTAATAGCCCTTGTGTTATATTAACATTATAACACAGCACATAAGATATTAACGCACCAACAGATCAGATAATACAACACGTTAATAGCCCTTGTGTTATATTAACATTATAACACAGCACATAAGATATTAACGTATCAACAGATCAGAAGATACAACACGTTAGCAGGTCTCATGTTACATTAACATAATAACACAGCACATAAGATATTAATGTACCAACAGATCAGATAATACAACACGTTTGCAGGTCTCATGTTACATTAACATTATAACACAGCACATAAGATATTAACGTACCAACAGGACAAACAAAACAATATCACATGATACAACAGATTATTCGAAACATCAACAATCCGGACTTCTCTATAATGAAACACGATAGGTAAAATTAACAGTGTAAAAGGTAAGATCAAATATTAACAGTGTTAGAGACAACAATAATACAAAGATTGGTATTAAATTAAGATCTTCTATTGTTCTAAGAGAACAGTTCTACTTTTATTCACGTTAACGTGACGATAAAGACGATGTCAATGAAGATTTTTGTTGTTGCCGACGAAAACGTTTTACTCTTGATGGAAAGGACATACACGAAGATTGACGGTGGATCTGTATTAAAGTTCACAAATCCAGGAGGATCGTATTAGCTTAGATCTCATTTGATTGGCTAGAAGTAAGTTTCGAACTTCGGTGTATTGCTGTTTATCTGGAGTCGTAGTAATCTTTCTCTCTGTTTTATAACACTCACTTTTAGTATAATCGTTTTCGTCCAACTTACTGGAGAAGACGTAAATCAGATATACTATCATTCTCATTAATTTAAATCAATACCTTAACTCTTCCACGAGGAACGTATTTTCGTCTAATCTACTCAATTAGATGTAATTCGGGGAGATTCTCCTGAATTCGAGATGAATTTTGATACACCGAAGGAGAAACGTATTGTTTAGAGACCTATTGGTTGACTAACGACCAAAGTTTCGTTCCCAGTTGTTTATGGAGAGCAGTGTTATCCCTTTATTACAGTTTTCATTTACAACAACATTGATTTTATCGTATGTATTAATCTAGAGATACATTCGTCGTACGTGTTACTCTAGAGATAATTTCGTCGCATGTATTAATCTAGAGATACATTCGTCGTACGTGTTACTCTAGAGATACTTTCGTCGCATGTATTAATCTAGAAATACATTCGTCGTACCTGTTACTCTAAAGATACTTTCGTCGCATGTATTAATCTAGAGATACATTCGTCGTACGTGTTACTCTAGAGATACTTTCGTCGCATGTATTAATTTAGAGATACATTCGTCGTACCTGTTACTCTAAAGATACTTTCGTCGCATGTATTAATCTAGAGATACATTCGTCGTACGTGTTACTCTAGAGATACTTTCGTCGCATGTATTAATCTAGAGATACATTCGTCGTACGTGTTACTCTATTGATATTTTCGTCGCATGTATTAATCTAGAGATACATTCGTCGTACATGTTACTCTGTTGATATTTTCGTCGTATGTATTAATCTAGAGATACTTTCGTCGTACGTGTTACTCTATTGATATTTTCGTCGAATGTATTAATCTAGAGATACTTTCTTCGTACGTGTTACTCTAGAGATATTTTCGTCGCATGTATTCTTTCATCGTATGTGTTAGAGATACAAAGTTCTTGTTTAGGATCATTGTTTCAAATCTGAAGACGTGACATATATATTCCAGTGTTAAAATGTCCAACTTTTTATTGATTCGTGTCTGAAGTCATGACATGTATGATCCATTTTTAAAATATCCAATTTTTCTAGCACTGACCTTTACTTGACCGGAAATACGTTTCAAACAAGACAATATTATTCTTATATCCGAAAATTCTGTACTTCAAAATTCTGAAAAATTCATAAGTGCGTCTTCCTAATACACCGCTTAATAACCTATCTCTTTCACCGTTTCTTCCAATATAGATGAAGAACGTAACAGTAACCTAGACAGACGGTGATAACCTGTCAATTATTGTTCAAAGATGTGCACAATTACACCATCTTTTTATCAAATAAAACAGTCATTTAGTTCACTACTATATTCTGTGAGCAGCAAACAACACATGAAAATCACAATAACTTTTGCAGTCACACTCTTAAGTGTTTCAACTGTTATCATGAAAGACGTTGGACCAATCGGTGAGTGTTTCAACTGCTATCACGAAAGACATTGGACCAATCGATAAGTGTTTCAACCGTTATCATGAAAGACGTTGGACCAATCGGTGAGTGTTTCAACTGCTATCACGAAAGACATTGGACCAATCGATGAGTGTTTCAACTGTTATCATGAAAGACGTTGGACCAATCGGTGAGTGTTTCAACTGCTATCACGAAAGACGTTGGACCAATCGGTGAGTGTTTCAACTGTTATCATGAAAGACGTTGGACCAATCGATGAGTGTTTCAACTGCTATCACGAAAGACGTTGGACCAATCGATGAGTGTTTCAACTGTTATCATGAAAGACGTTGGACCAATCGATGAGTGTTTCAATTGCTATCACGAAAGACGTTGGACCAATCGATGACTGTTTCAACTGCTATATGAAAGATTCTGGACCAATAGATGAACTTTATGTAGTATGGACTTTTTCCGAGAGATCCCGAACACATGAATCAGAGGTGAAATGATTATTTGACACGTTCTAATGGTATCAATAAATGAAAGAAGACAGACTTTAGGAGGAGCGAAATGATGTTCTTTACTCTTCTTATTATCAGGATGTTCTTCCCACGAGTTTGTTCTGAGAATCATCTTACCACTCTCTGAACAATCGTAAATAATACTGCGAATCAAAGTTCTTGGTATATTACCAAATAATACACAGAAGGAACAACATCAGATTGTTAATATTTGGAATTAAACTTTCTTGACACTTTACCAAATAATATGCAGATTGTAAAGCATCAGATTCTCTTTCTGAACCTGACCGTTTTGGCACTTTACCAAATGACACGCTTTGTGTGAACATCTGGTCCGTAAAGAAATAAAGGAGGTTAAACATTATGACATAATGCTTATTGGTCAGAATGTCTACAAATCTTGATAGACACTTCCTCCTGCAAGGTTATAAGTAATTGAAAGGAACACGACCCAGAAGGATGAAACGAATTCGCTGCTGGTCAGGTACAATTTCTTGCTCAGCTGTTTTCCACTGAAAGCTAACTAACTAAAAGAGTGCTTTACAATGACATAGAACAAACGTTTGTGATTGGAACCACTTCTATGAGCAAACGTTGCTGAAATGGGGGGACTACCACGAGGAAAGGGTATAAAATCATAATTTTCAAAATGAAACGTATGGCAGGTATGAAAAAAGCATCACGTCATGAAATGGAAGTTTGATGAAAACTTAGTACCTCACAGCGTTGTTAGTGGTTCTAAGTTGGGCTGTTTCACCAGATGGACTACAGGCTGCTGAAGTGGTAAATGACGTAAAGGTGTAAGTTGATACAGTTCGGATGGTCCCATTTCTCGAAACAGAGCTTTTCATCCTCATCTGATGACGTTTGCCACGTTTTTTCAAGAAACACGTGCACGACCCTCTGCACCAGAGCTCTAGCGATCTTATCATCCGTCGACGGAATTTCGTGCTCATGAAACAGTAGACTATAGGGTTCAGGCAGCTATGAACAAAGGGCAGCAGGAAAAATATTATTCGAGCGGTATAGATCCAGTGATTGAAGTGTTCCACGCCGTAGATGATGCAGATCTCAAGGACCAACCGCGGTCCCCAGCACACCAAGAAGAGGAACACTACAATAATCAGCATCTTGATAACCTACAGAGATAAAGAGAGTAACATGATGAAAAAACACAAGAGACAAGAAGGTGTATGGTGAATATAACACAAGAGACAAGAAGGTGTACGGTCAATATAACACAAAGACAAGATGGTGTACGATGAATATAACACAAGACAAGAAGGTGTATGGTGAATATAACACAAAGACAAGAAGGTTTATGGTGAATATAACACATGAGACAAGAAGGTGTATGGTGAATATAACACAAAGACAAGAAGGTGTATGGTGAATATAACACAAGAGACAATAAGGTGTATGGTGAATATAACACAAAGACAAGAAGGTGTATGGTGAATATAACACGAGACAAGAAGGTGTACGGTCAATATAACACAAACTGATCTGTTGGTACGTTAATAACTTATGTGCTATGTTATAATGTTAATATAACACAAGGCCTGTTAACGTGTTGTATTATCTGATCTCTTGGTACGTTAATATCTTATGTGCTGTGTTATAATGTTAATGTATGATATGTTAATATAACACAAGGCCTGTTAACGTGTTGTATCTTCTGATCTGTTGGTACGTTAATAACTTATGTGCTATGTTATAATGTTAATATAACACAAGGCCTGTTAACGTGTTGTATTATCTGATCTCTTGGTACGTTAATATCTTATGTGCTGTGTTATAATGTTAATGTATGATATGTTAATATAACACAAGGC